TTGCTGTATGCAAGGTGTCATCTGACCTATTTGTTTTGCAATTTCCTACCGTTAATCATCGATTCCTTGTTTATGTGACTTCACTTCTCATCGGACTATGATCCATATCTTTGGAAGCTGTCTGTGGCTTTCTACCTGAGTTGACTTAAGTGAATAATCAGAAAACAAATTGTTGCCTAATATTGGCTCAAGATGAACTGAGGATTAATGTCTGGAAAGAATGTTCTGTGTGTGGTGTGTCTGGGTTGTCATCTGCCCTGTTGTTTGTGTAAACGTATGAGTCCTTCACGCTGAGATGATGCTCCGGGTGGTGGGAATAAATTACTCTGAACCTGTTATCCTTTCTACAATGAGGACGCGTGCAATTGTTTGTTTGTTTTTCTGCCCTGTGGTTACAGCGGTGGCCCATTTCCAGAGATGTTTACTGCTCCCAGTGCTGGCCTGTTCCTAGGTTTCCTTTATGTTTTTACTCCATCTTTTTACAATGTGTTTTAGCCTGTTTGCTCCATACGAGTATGTTTGTTCACTGGCTGTTTCATGGTAACATTATTTCAAGATGTTTCACCATACCCTTGTCTTTCTCTTCTCTGCTCATATTGTTTCTAATTTCCCTACCAGAACCTTCCATGGTGCCCAGGACAGTCCTGGTTTTCTACCTGTTGCCCTACTGTCATTCCCAGTGGTTCCCCCTCCCCCCACTTTCCCATTGAAAAGGGAAGGCATTGAAATGAAAATTATAGTGGTCTCCTTACCCAAAATCATGACTTCTCTCAGATTTTATAACCAACTTCTGAGACTCTTTATTCCAGGGAAAGACTGATTGGGTAAGTACTTAATTTACAGCCACCCTCCCCGGTCATGTATGAAATCATAAAATGGGACCAAACCCTGAACCAAACACTAAGTAATAAGTAGGTCCTAGTAGATGATTCTAAATGACGGGCCAGGGTGAGAAAAACACTTTAAAGTCTTCTAAACTTTTCTGGCCGTTGTTATTTACTCAGAAGCTGTGGATAATTCTGGACTTGTCAGCATGACTACCGTAGTCTTTATTTTCGTCCTTTCCCCAACACGTTTATTATGTTTGCACAGACTGTGTACCAAACACTGCTCTGAGCATAAAGCTGTATCAGAGTGCATCAGATAAACCCTCTACTGTCACGATGTTTCTTCCAGGGAATGGAGGTAGAGTCACAAAATAACAAGTTAAATAATTAAATCAAAAAATCAGATAATATTGTCTTATTTTTTGGAAAAAAAAAAAGTGATATGATAGAAACGGAAAGTTGTCACGGAGCATAGCTCAGGATGAGAGACCAAGGAGGCATCCTCAAAGGAGGAGTCGTTTAGGAAGAGAACCAAATGGTAAGTCAGTGCCGGTCACAGGAGGTTGAATGGCAAACTCATTCCAGGGCGAGGAAACCATGAAAGCAGAAGTCCTCAGGGGGAAGGAGCTTGACACATTTGAGAAACAGAAAAAAGGCCAGTGAGATTGGACTTCATGGGAAAGTGGAAGCATGCAGGGGGTGAGTCCAGAGAGAGACAGGTCAGGTTGGGGCTGAGGAAGCAGTAGGGAGGGGGCGTGGCAAAGAGCTCAGACCAGCCTCCAGGCGAGTACGTTTCTTGCGATATTGACATGTCACAATGTGCATGAACTAATATTCTAGCTGTTTCGTGCAGAACAGGGTGACAAAGGCAATGGGAGAAGCAGAGAGGCCAGTTAGAGATCTCACCATGACCTGCTGAAGAGCTGGATGAAGGAGGAGAGGAAAACGATGGATCAAGTATGCATCCTAAGAACTGGCCGGAGGAAATGGACTGACAGGAGGCATCTAGCAGGACAGATGGTGGGCTGGGGGCAGGTGGAAAACTGAGAGTTTTGTGTTGTCATGTTAACTAATCATGAATCCCATTAGATTTCCACGTGGAGATGTCAAGTGGAAAGCTGGCTGTTGGATCCACAAGCCTGGAATTCAGGGCAGAGGTCAAAGCCAGAGATATTGGTATATAGTCTGTATTTGAAGTTATTGGGCAGAACTGGATAATCTAGAAGGAAAGCATAGCAAAAAAAAAACCCATCCAGGCTCAGCAAAGGAGAATGTGATGTAGGAAAAGCAAGAGAGTGGGAGTCATGGAAACTGAGAGAAGAGGTGTTTCAAGAGGTAAAATGTGTTCATAGGAGCTGAATGCTGCCGACAGGCTGGGAGACGGGAGAGACCTCTGCATCTCCATCACCAGGATAGCTCCTGGGAAGAGGCCAGAAGCCCTGATGGGAGAGTTTGGGGCAGAGTGAGAGGCAAGGAAGTGGCTCCAGATTCTTTCAGGAAACTGATGTCTACAGGAGCTTTTACTAGATGGAAGTAGGAAATCAAAAAGGGTGTTTTGTTTCTTTTTTAAAAGAAGCCAGAACCCATTTGTTTGCAGATAGAAATGGTCCAGTAGAGAGAAAGCAATGATGGAGAAGGAGAGGTGATGGTGTAGGGTAGAAATGAATGGTTGACCTTTGAAAGGAAAAAAAAAACAAAAAGAAAACCCTTCATCCTTTGAAACCCGAGCACAGAGATGGGAGGACGCTGGGCTTGCTAGGCTGGTGGGGTTGGTGGCAGGAAGATGAGGGATTCCTCTCCATTTCCTTCTACTTTCTTAATGAAGGATCAAGCGAGATCAACAGATACAAGCTTTAGGATGATGCTGTATTGCAGAGGTTCAATGGGGACCACTTTGATCTGACCGTGAGTCATACATCCCAAGGTGACGTCATGCCTGTGGTCCTGGACGGTCTGGACAAGATGCCCTGTGCGCTGTGGCTACACCATCAAAGCCCTCAATGGTTACTGAGCTGAGAGGTGATTTGCCCAGATGTTCGCATGCAGTCTCGGCCCAGTCTACATTTCCAGTGTTTTCTCACATTTCTCCATGTCACCATGTCTTTCTGTCTTCTGTTCCTCTCTTGAGCCTTACCCTTTCTGGGCACTTGTTCCCATCATTTTCCTGGCTGGATTATTCAGAGCCTACTCCTCCAAGGGAAGTGGGTTAATTCTTTTCATCCCAGTTGAGATCACACGTTCAAAATGAAGGTGTGATCTCAAAAATCACACCTTCTGCTCTTCCTCATGACCGCCGTCTCCCCCTCCAATCTGAAATGAACGAGTTCTGGACCCCACAGAACTTTCACTCATTCATTCATATCCACCCATTCATTCATCCATCCATTCACTCATTCGATAATATTTCAGGATCTTCAGCAATGTGCTGGAAGCATGCCAGGCAGGCCCCAAGAATATGGAGGGGGGGCCTTGTCTTCATGCTTACAATCTAGAAGAGACTATGACAGAGCAGATGCCATCAGTAACTTTATACCCTTCATCCCTTTATCTTTAGCTGGGCAGGGATCACTCATAATCCACTACATTTCTCAGACTTCCCTGCAGCTAGCTGTGGCATGTGAATACGTTCTAGCCAATGGTTTGTACATTGAAGCATTGTGTATAGTTTATGGAATGTAGTCTTCAAGTGAGAGGCATCCTTCTTTTTTTTTCTTTTCTGTTTCTTTATTCTGCTGCTTGGAATGTAGTTCTGACTTCCAGACTTCGATCAGCCATCATGGACAACGTGGTGGGGCCAAATGCTGAATCTGATCTGAGGAAGATCCTAGAAGGACCCTGGGTCCCTGGTTCTTACAGAGCTCTCTTTTCAGCTCTGCATGCTTTAAATAAGAAATTGATCTATTAAGCCACTGGTATTTCAAGTTTTCTGTCATACACAGTTGTATCTTAATAAAATAAGGGCTAATAACCCAAAATGCAGGATGCTGTCAGAACGTTTCATGTCCTGCGGTCTAGCAACTCAGAGGAGCTTTTCCGGGGCTGTAGACTTGTAGCTGAGCTCAGAAGGAGGGTTTGGAGCTTACTACAGCCGTGGAAGGAGAGAATTCCTGATGAGGTAGGGTGGGGGGGACAGTACTATGAAGACACTAGACAGGAGAGGAGGCACACATTCAAAGAGCCACAGACTGTGGCTCGAGCAGAGGAAACCGGTGGTCAGGGGGAGCCAGCAGAAGCAGGCAGGGCCAGACTCCCCATGACCTTGGAGGTCATGGTGGAAATGTTGTCCTTTACTCTAAAATGAAATGGGAAGCTATTTAAGAGTTTTATGCAGATATTTCAATGATCAGATTTGGGCTTTTATAATACGACACTTACCTCTGTAGGGAGAGCTTACTGGAACTGAACAAGGGTGGATACAGCAAGACCACCTGGGAGGTTGTTACGGTGCTATTTGGTTCACAGAGGAGGGGGAAGAGGTGCCAGGATGTAGTGTCAGAGGGTCAGGGAGAGGGTGGAGGTCTGGCTTCACTGGGATTTCCCTTAGATGGGAATTATCTTTTCTGTTCCTTAGACATCTCCATATATACGTCCTCTTCTACATCACAGGCTATATTTTACTCGTCTTTGCATTTTCTCTCTCACCCAGCAGAGCGCCTTGCTCACAGTAGGTTCTCAATACAAATTTATTGATTTATTAAGGGATGGGTGAAGAAACAACGGTTGTATAATTTTTACCAAAGGAACCCAAGGATGCTCGCAGAACGTGCTGGAAAGCTCCTCTGAGACTCGTTTCTTTGCTGACTCTTTGTTTTTGTTTGTAGCTATGGCAGAATAATCTGGAAGAGTAGGTCTGATTTTGCAAGTTCATTTGCCTATGAAAACAGCCCGTATTGCAGGATTATCAGCACGAGCAGCGGGAATGGTGCAATGCAATCTGTGGGCTTTGGCAAATAGAGTTTCTGAAGGAAAAATATACAACTTTAACCCACTTGCTCTTTTGCAATCATGTAGCAATATCTGTAGGAGGCCAGTGGCTTTTCCCCTTGGTAATAATGTAGGTTGAGTAACAAATGATTTCACTCTGTCTGGTTAATTATCACGGGTGGTTTATCCATTGATTGAAAGCTCTTTACAAGTATCAGGAAATGAAAATAGGAACAGAGAACTCCCTCCCATATTCCAAGAATTGCTATCGACTGGAAGAATCAAATGTTCCCCGTTTAGCAATGTCATTCCTAAGCAGTGCTCTCATTTAGGGTGAAACAGTTCATGGACAGACGCTCAGGAGAAGACAATGCCACTTTCAGAAGGGCACACATCACCGATGTCAGCGAGACGCACTCGACACAGGGAGACAAGGGTGCCGGCAGACCACTGCGCAGGGATGCTGCAAACAACAGTCTTTACAAGAATTCATAATTTGTTCCTACTTTTAGAGGCGCATTCAGCATTTTGAATGGTGGTGTTACCATCACCACATTCGTGAAAGAGAAGAGTCAGTGAAGCCACTAAAGGTTCACAGTGACCCCGAAAGAGGCAGACGTTGCAGAACTTCAAGAGTTAAAGACCAGGCCAAGTGTAAAGATACATCAGACGGCCTCCTGAGAGGTGTGGAGGGAAGGCGCTCTTTCCCAGCAGATCACTTTGTTTACTACTTACATATAATTGTTGACAGCTCATCACGAATCGATCTGACTTAAATACTTCCCGGAACAAGGTAAAATACATGAGTTGAAAAGAAAATGCATGAATGTAGGTATGTTCCCCATCTCTCTCTCCCTCTTTCTTTCTCTCTCCCTCTCTCTCTCTCTCTCTCTCTCTCTCTCTCTCACACACACACACACACACACACACTTATTCCCAATCCATAAATTTTGGAAAATCACAACTCTCTTAACCATTATGCTCCCAGTTATTAATCAGCCAGTTTAAATAACTAAGAATAACTAAGTCATCCAATAAAACTCATAACTACTTCCGAAAGAAAATTTGTCAATTTGGAGGCTATATTATGGGTTTTTTCACTGCATGATTGTTTTCGTTGTCCATCTCATCTTGTGAATGTCAGAATTAACTCTTTGTCATTTACAAACAATGTGTGACTGTGCAGATGTAATTTCCTTCCTCTTTGCCACAGATTTTATTTTAATGACGAATGCCTTATAAACTCACTGCAGAAAATTTAGACAACACATAAGAATAAAATTACTTGAAATCCTATTTTGAAGACTTTGTTCCATATTCTGGATTTTCTTAAATGTGCAAATGTATTCAATAGATTGGTTGAGATAACAGTGAACTTTGATTGCACACGTGTCAGGCATAGTTGTATATACTCTACCAGCATCAACTAATTCATTCATCCATTTCTGCATGACTTTGCATTTTTTCTTATGACTTTTTAACATTCTTCTGTATATGCTTTTCTCTATCATTAAAAATTCTTAGTAAACATGATCTTTAATGCCTGTGCCTTTTATGGGATAGATATATACCAGGGCAGATTTATGTCATTCAAACAATTAATGTTTCCAATTTTTCATTAATGTAAATACTGTCACCTACTATAATTGTATTACAAATATTATTCTGATGAAATATTATAGCAGTTACTTTTCATAAATCCTCAAGTGTGTTTCTGATTGCAAAATTAAGACAGATTCCCAGAAACAAAATGCTGACTCAAAGACTTGGAATATTTTCTATACACAGTATTTTTAAAGGGGAATTTTTATAGTAAAAAGAATTTTAGTTTGATCAGATTTGCTTGTTAAAATGCAAGGACCAAAAATGAGTTAAATATTCAGATTTCTCCCCAAACAGGGGAACTGAGCCCCTAGTCAATTGGATATTTTTTTCTAATCCTATTCTAGTTTTATTCAAATTCCCTATGGAAGTGGGAAAGATCACACACAGCGCTCACTGTTTTGATTATTGTTGATGAGGAACCAGCCTTCCTTTGTAAGCATCTGAATGCTGCCAAGGGCGGCAAGTTTGTCACAAGGATATCCCTCGTGTGAGCCTGGACAGGACATCTGGGAGCCAAGGCTGGGGTGCCTGGTGCCCAGTGAGGCCCCTCCTTCACCCCCTATTCAAGAGGACATTTCCAGCTCCATTTCCCCTCAGAGCAAACTAAGCCAGCAGCTTTGGTCAGGACCCAGAGAGCATCTCTGAGTCATCCGTGCCTTTGAAATCTCATTAGTGCCTTCCACGTAGAGAGAGCAGATTTGGGGTCCACGTGGAAAGCCTCTGTTTTACTAAATTGCTGACGTCATCTTCCTTCTCTGCTGCTCTTCCTTGAAAGTAAGGACGGTGGTGCTTAAAACAGAACTGAGTAAACTTAGTATAGATGCAGTATAACCGAATAAGGCTCCATTTGGGAAACCAAAACACAGGAAATGAGAGAGATCTTAGTGAGGAAGAACCAGTTTGCTCATTTTAGCCCACTTCACACGTATGAAAAGCTCATAAGATAGTAGAGTAAAACTGAGAATACATCACTGAAACATGAATCAAGCATCTGTAATGACAATGAAGAAGAAAATGGTTATGTGATTTATAAAGCATGACGGGGTGTCAGGATAAGCACTGGAAATTTTACTCTGATCTGATAATTAAGTGATAGGAGACATGTTGGCAAGATGTTGGATTTGGTAAACTACTTTGCATATTTGGTGATATATCCAAACAGTTGTTACATATCAAAACCCAACTCATACTGTGAGAAGAAAAATACAGATGTAATTTTAACAGCTTTATTGAAGTATGATTAACAATCACGAAATGCACATATTGAAAGCGCACAACTTGCTGAGATTTCGTCTGTGTGCACATCCATAACTGCCACCACAGTTAAGGTGATGCATGCATCCATCATCCCCAAAGCTTCCTCATGATCGTTTGTCATTCTCTCCCTCCTACCGCGCCCCGCCCCCGCCCGCCTCCTCCCCAGGCAACTGCTGTTCAACTTTCTGTCAGTGTTGATTAGATTGCTGGAATGTCATAGAAAGGACCAAATGTACCCACTCATCCTCTACCTTAAGCGTAAACAATGCCGTAACAATGTCTTTAAACAATAAGGAACAGTGATGTCACAGAAAATCTTGGCTGTAAGGGGGAAAAGCTCATAGTTACGTGAATTACACATTTTCCATCTCCTACCCTTTCCTACAGTCTATCTTGCTGGACCCGAGAGAAATGTGTGTGACAGTGCAAATGAGATGTTCACCCATGACCACACCAGTAGGCAATGCAGGTACAAATTCCACTGGTCAAAGTAAATGATGTCAGCTGCAACAGCAGCTTAATAAATGAAACAATGTTTACAGCTAGACTAAGACTTGGCATTTATGAAATACTATGTATCTGCTACTATGCTATATATTTGATGTGCAATAGCTTATTTTTTTCACTTGATTTCCCCCCAAATTCTATATACAATTTTCATTTTCACATCATGGTTCTTTCCTTTAATATTATTCTGTATGCCTTTTCAGTGTTATTCACTAACTCAAAAAGCATCTAAGAAACTATGTCATAACTTCTTTATATCATATCATATCATAAAGACAATACTTACAGCTAGGAAAAAAAATTGATAAAATTTTCATTTGTATAAAATCCCCTGTAACATACCTGTGGCTTCAGTTAAGGTAAAGACAAAGAAGCAATCTGGGGGGGAATTTGTCCCAGAGAATATGATTTGAGGAGAAGAGAACGGGCCACATAAGTACGGTCAGAATGCAGGCGTTAGCTCGGATGAAGGGCAAGAAGGAATCTGTTACGAGGCAGGAGAAAGAAATCAGAATATACGCAGGAGTGCAGGGGCAGACCGCTCTGGGCCTGGACCAGTGGGCTGTGTGCTAAACTGCATATTTAACACATTTGTTGGGTCCAGAGAGAGGACAGGAACGGTGGGCCACCTTATTAGCCTGTGTGGTTCCCTGGAACCATGGGAACTCCATCAGCTTGGTGCTGCACGGAGCTGTAAACCACTCACCCCGAAAAAGGGTTGTGAAGAGTACATCCAGGGTTCTGAGTAGGCTAGGCTAGATTTGGGGTCTGTGGTTGGTAGCCTGCATCAGTAAGATAATCCAATCCTCCTATATTACATCATCAGCTATCTCCAGGAGCTGAAACACTTTGAATTTGAATGATCTGCTACAAGTGGGAGGTTTAAGACTTCCTATAAGCCCACAAGAGAGTTGTTTGAAAAGTTTTATTTTGTGAGGAGAGGGACAAGAGTTCGCTTTCATTCTTCCTTGGAGAATGTGCATGGTCTGGTCCTCAGAGGTGTCACAGATATATAACCCCAGGGCCTCACTGAAGAAGGTGGATGGGGAAAATGGAACAGTAAGCACGTGTCCACAAGCCCCAGGTCAGGCATCGATCTTGCTAAGAAGCCAAACAGAACCTCTCAGGTCTCCTCTAGGCCAGTATCTGCTCCAAAGAAGCAGTATTCTAAGCCACACCCAGTGCTTAGATTCCCTCTACCTTTTCCTGCTAAGGATTCAAGCTGTTTATCTTAACTCCTGTATCATTAATTCACCAATTCTGAGAACAGACATTTTCATGTGTAGAGACGCGTGGGCATGCCCTGAGGTTCTGGTTGTAACCGTGCTTGTTTGTTTTCGTTTTCTCTCCAGCTGGCATCTCTCTGCCTGGAGTTTCTGTCCATCTTCTGTTTTCTACTAGCTTCCTATCTGATGGTTAGGCTAACCATTCTGTCTCACTTCTCACTTGACACGGATTGGTTTCCCTTTCCTGTACACATCATTTCCCCTCTATCTCCTCCAGTTTCCAAGGCACCCTTCAGATTGTGATGTTCCCCTACACACACTCCCCTCCCGCCCCCGCCCCCAGCACGGTCTGAGCAGCTCAGGTGGTCGCCCTCACTCTTAGTCATTGTTCAGTTGGAGGTGTGAGCGGCTCAGAGCCTGCAGCGTGGTGCTGTTAGCCTAGACGGCCCCTTATTGCCAAGCCTCACCCCCTATCTGATAGGTGCCCAACCCGGCTCCCAGGCCTTCCTATTCTGGACTTGGACTTCACACTCATTCATGTCAAACTGTGGCTTGTCTAGCTTGTGGCATAGGACCCCCTGCTGCAGTGCACTTGGGACGTTTTTGGATTCAGACCCTGAAATTCATTGTATTTGCCAACCCTCACGCTGTTGGGACTTGCAGATTCGATGACATGTCTTCCATCTTTGTATCAAGTCACTGATAAAAGCACCAAAGAGAGCACAAGCTGAAGCCTGCACAAGACCCTGCACAAGATCAACACTAATGGTTATGGAACTTGATACTGGTTCTCCTCTCTTAGCCAAAGCTCCAGCACCATGGGGTGGGAGCTGCATTTCCCATTTTTGTACCCTTAGTACTAAGCAGAGGGCCGAGAACCAACAGGCATTTTACAAATAGATGTGGATTGGATAAGATGCTGGCCAAAACGTTTTATTTTTAAATTTCATCTAATCTGTAAGGATATTACAAAATACCATGTTATAGTTGATTGAAATCCACTTAATTGCTTCTTAAAACATTTCTTGAAATCTGAGTTTAGTAATCCTCTCAAGAAAGGACTCATGACTTATTCTTCTTGACTCTTACTGGATCTTAGTTACCATTGTTTTCTCCTTAGCTGTTCTCAGACCATTATTATAATAAGCTTCTAGATTCTTTCTAGGGATGTACTTTAAATTCACTAACCTGTAGTTTGCCTTAAGTGAATTTTCTTTTCCATTGGGGTTTTGAAATGCCATTTATTCACTTTTGTTTTTGGCAGTCTTTCCTTCTGCTCTCTGTTTTTTAAAGATCCCTCAGATGTCTCAGCGATCGCATTTACAAAAGTTCTCTGGTCCCTGAGTTTCATTTAGGGACCTCACAGGCTGTCTACCTGCTTTACCCACATCGGGTTTCCAGTCTTCTGATGCTGCCCTGAGCTGCTGACCTCCCGTTTATATCAGCACATCATTGTTTCCAAGATTATCTTCAGGATAAAAAAAAAAAAAAATGAGGGAGCCAGAAAGAAAGAAAGGAAAAAAGGAAGGAGGGAGGGAAAGAGGAAGGGAGGGAGGAAAGAAAGGAGGGAGGGAGGGAGGGGGAAGGGGCACCATGTTGAACACTTTAGAGCACAATCTCATTAAGTCCTCACACTGCCCTGTGAGGCAGGGCCTGTTTTTCTCTTATTTACCAGTGGTCACTCTGAGGCACAGAGAGTGTGGGTCTGGCTTTCCAGACTGTCAAACACATACTTTAAATCTCTTCCAGCTCTTCTCTGACTTGTTATCCTTTTCCTATATCTTCTCCTTTCTAATGGGCCCCTTAACCAGCTCTCCACTCTCGGTAGCTTCCACTTAACTGTTCTTTTTTTTTTCCTTTTCTCACAGAAACACTAAAAGATTTCCACTCTTCACACCTCTACCCTGCAGTCCATGGCGATGACCTAGAGCATTTAGCAGCATTCCAACCTCATTCAACACACACGCAGGCCCTTTGCCTCTGCATGGTCTTGTCCCTGAAAAGTAGAAATGTGGGTTGGGGTTACTTTGACTCAGATGGGGGTTGGGGGGGAAGGCTGCCAGAGAGAGGAGAAGAGTCGGGTATCATAAGCATTTGGGGAAGAAGAGGGGATATCCTGTAGCTGGTCCCGGCTCCCTTCCACGGGGCAAGGGATAGGTTTCAGTTTACAGAGGGAAACATTTAATCAAGACCGCATTCTTCAAAACCCACATGTATTTCCTATCACATCCACCCAAGCAATCTGGGGTCCCACACAAATGTGCAGTGGCTTCTGGAGAGGAAGTTTTGGTGAATATTTTGGAAACAATAACAACAACAAGAACAAAAACACAACCGGCTGGCACAGTCTGAATCTCAAAGATCTCAAGATTCTTCTTCATTTTGAGACCTTCTGAAACAATACGAACATTCTACTTGGTAAGTCAATAAGAAAACTCACTGACACAATAATGCTCTGTCTTTCTCAAGCTGGGGTGCTGACATAATGGAGAAAGTCCCTGCTCTGAATGTCTCCAACCATATGAAGTTTAAAAAGCATGCAGCTGGGGGTCGATGTTGGGTGAACACCCAGGATTACGGGACAGACGTGAACCTCCGCCTGGCTGGACGCTTACAGGTTTCCCTTCATCCCCTGAAGAACTGCTAAAACCAGCAATTAGGAACCGTAAGCACCAGTACTTTGCCTTGAGGGAAATTTGGACTTCAAGGTAAAGTATCTAAGAGATTTGAAATCTGTCGTTAAACACAGCCTTGGTCTTAAATGTTCATAATCCTTTCCCTGCCCTTGACTTTCTGCAATAACTTCTTTCTGAATTTCTCTGTCTCTGTTTACCAGTTTACTTTCTTAGGGAATAACCTCCATAAGCTACCAAATGATGAACTGTTTTTCATTCATGTGTTGTTTTTCCAGCCCCCTTAATTGGAATAAATGAACATATGACTTGACTTTTAACCTACTTTTCCTTGTGCTTATAATAAAAGAGTATAGCATTATTTATGTGTGTCTGCATATATGCATTCATTTATTATCAATCCCAAGGACCTCACCAGTGTGAACTGGAGATTAAGCAAAATGGGAAAAATTATTCTCACCCTTTGCTGTATCTAAAATCAATGGCACAACAAGAATAAAATGGAGTAATGATATGTCAGATAATATCTTTACTGAAAGGCTACTTAATAGTTGTATTTTGGACAGAGAGTTAACTTAGTATCTTTTGCTGAAAACTTTTCATAATACAGTTGATTCTTGTTATTCATGGTGGTTAAGCTCTGTAGTCACTGTGAACACAAAATTAGCGAATACTGAGCCATTGCTCCTATAGGAAATATAGGGTTACGTTCCTGCAGGCTTCTGCTTATGACATTCTCGCCAACCAATCAATTCATACCTTTGTTTTATGTATGTTTCTGTTTAAAGACACCTTATTTAATAGATACTGTTGATTTAATAATAATAACATTGAAGTCGTGGTCAATAGCCCTGTAACTCAGGCCTGAACAAAGCTGATCTAACACAGGTTTTCTACACAAGGCTCATCACAGCCTTCTCTCCCCTAGATACACTGGACAGCACTACAGCACCAATGGGAGCCATTTTAAACAGCAAAATCACCAAAAAAGGCACAAAAAAAATCCCCGTTTACAGTCTGAGAGCTGGGACAAGAAGGCAGGGCATCCCTTGTTAGCTCTTAGCTGGGAGCATGCACAACAGGCAACTCAGAGTTTTTGCCACTAAGTCTATGTCTGTGAATGAGTAAGTACCACAGTATTGATTTGGGGGTTACCAAGAAATGTAATGAGTTGACATATTTGCAAATACAGGATCTGTGACTAATGAGGATCAGCCGTACTTCTGAAAGAACCACTTAAGGCATCTCTATTCTGTACTATTATATATTTTGTACTAAATATATCGGCAAATATATTTTTTGCCGATACTGATTCTGTCACTTCTGAATATTCCAGCCTTCCTTACTTAACTTTATCTTCTGTTTTTTTTTTTTTTTTTTTTTTTTTGTGGTACCCGGGCCTCTCACTGCTGTGGTCTTTCCAGTTGCAGAGCACAGGCTCTGGACACACAGGCTCAGCGGCCATGGCTCATGGGCCCAGCCACTACCACGGCATGTGGGATGTTCCCGGACCGGGGCACGAACCCTCATCCCCTGCATCGGCAGGCGGACTCTCAACCACTGTGCCACCAGGGAAGCCCAACTTTATCTTCTTAAAACAATCTTTTGGAATTAAAAAAAAATTCCTCTGGTTCTTATTCTCCACACCAACCCTCTAATTCAGAAGGATTGCATTTTGGTTGTTTGTGGTTAACATGTAAACTCAGTGATGGGAAAGGAAGGTCAGAGGGTGCTGTTGGTGTGTCCCACACACATCCCCCAGCCCATCCCAAATACAGCTTGCAGACATGCCCAAGGGCATTCTCTGTCCAGAGGAATATGCTAGACCCACAGAGGACAGACCAGAAGTGAGGCAGATAACACCTGCAGAGTGATAAGTTATCCCAGCTCCCCACCCCTCAGTGGGATGATTCTGGGGCATTATCCCAGCAGAACATTGCCCTATCGGCCACAGCACTCACCTGCACCGTCCCTGTCTCAACCCCGCATGTTGTGGATTGCCTCTCACATTAATTACTTTTATTCAAATCCTCAGTGTGGGTTCTGCCTTTAGGGTAACTCACACTAAGGTAGAAATATTTTCCCTGGGAATCCTGATGGAATTTGCTTTTCTGTAGAATTGCTTGAGCTGAGAGAGGCCCTAGGGCCCAGTGGAAAGGATGCTCATGGGACTCTGGCCTCGGTTCCACCACTGCCTAATTCCTTGGTGCCCTTGTAAGTTTCCTAGGGCTGTTGTAAGAGATCACTGCACACTGGTTCACTTAAGGCAGCAGAAATGTATTCTTTCACCATGTGGAGACCAGCAGTCTGAAATCTAGGTGTTGGCAGAGCCATGAAGGTTCTGAAGGTTCTGAAGGCCTCAGGGGAGAGTCTGTTCCCGGCCTGTCCCTTGGGCTCCTGTGTGGCTGGCAGTCTTGGGTATCCCCTGGCCTGTAGGGGGATATCCAATCTCTGTCTGTGTCACTACATGTCAGTGTCTGTGTCGTTTTTCCTCTTCTTTTTATTTATTTTTATTTTGGGCTGCATTGGGTCTTTGTTGCTGCATGCGGGCTTTCTCTAGTTGGGGCAAGCCAGGGCTACTCTTCTTTGTGGTGCGTGGGCTTCTCATTGCAGTGTCTTCTCTTGTTGTGGAGCATGGGCTGTACGTGTGCGGGCTTCAGTAGTTGTGGCTCGTGGGCTCTAGAGCACAGGCTCAGTAGTTGTGGCACACGGGCTTAGTTGCTCCGCGGCATGTGGGATCTTCCCAGACCAGGGCTCAAACCTGTGTCCCCTGCATTGGCAGGTGGATTCTTAACCACTGCACCATCAGGGAAGCCCTCCCTCTTCTTATAAGAACACCAATCATTGGATTAGGGCCCGCCCTATGACCTAATCTTATCTGTATTCCATCAGCCAAGACTCTATTTCCAAATAAGGTCACATGCACAGGGGGTTGGGACGTGAACACGCCGTTTTGGGGACACAATTCAACTCAGAACAGCACCTGACTCCCTCGTCTATAAAATGCAGGTATTTGATGGGGAAGATGATCTCCAACTTTTAGCTCTGTAGTTCCACAATTTAAACTTCAAAGATGAGTGTTACTTTCATTGCTATTGTTCTTTTTCTCTTTATTCTCTTGCTTTGCCATTATCACCAGAGTAGAAATCATATTACAGTTCCTCTAAAAAGAAATACACATATCATCTCACATTAAAATATAGAAAAAATAAAGCATACATCAAATTGATGTCTCTTAAAATAATTACATTCTCATCTCTAAGCATTTAACTTTCTAATTCAACCTAAGATTCTCACTGAACTTTTATAAAATATTTTGAAAGCACTGGGTGAAAGTAACAATTAGTCATGACACGGATTTCCTCCAAGACCGTTATGTTTCTTCAGATCCATTGCTCAGGTACAATGAGATAAAAAATTAACATCACAGTTTTATCTGCCCAGGACGCAACGTGGGTTTGCAAAGTTCAGGGTGCCTTCCACACAGTTTAATTTCCCCTGCCGGGGCATAGGGATGAATAGGGCTGATGGTATTTTATTTTTCTCTAAGCTATAATGTTTTTGACGCGACCGTGGACTGGAAATGGAAACAACAGGTATAAATCATATCATTTGCCCTGGGGAGCAAAGCTTGAGCAAATCTGCTCTCCTGGAAGGTTTTGGTTTTTTTCCAGATTGCTTATTTTGCAAGATTTTCACTTTTTAAAAATGTTCCAGGGCTTCCCTGGTGGCGCAGTGGTTGAGAGTCCGCCTGCCGATGCAGGGGACACGGGTTCATGCTCCGGTCCGGGAAGATCCCACAAGCCGCGGAGCGGCTGGGCCCGTGAGCCATGGCCGCTGAGCCTGCGCGTCCGGAGCCTGTGCTCCGCAACGGGAGAGGCCACAGCAGTGAGAGGCCCGCGTACCCCAAAAAAAAAAAAAAAAGTTCTGTTTATGCTACAGCAGCCAATGAAACCTTTGGAAGGAGGTAGCAAGTTGTTTAGAGAGCTGTGCAGCAGAGGCCCTGGCATATCCGGTGAAAGGCAAGAAGATGCCTGGCCCTAGGTACTGATGGGAGCCGCGCGGGCCACCGAGCCTGGACCCGCGATGTCTGCCGGGTTTTGGTGACAGGAAATCACATGTGGTGTCATTTTCAGCTGCTGAGAGAGACAGGTGCACCCAGATCGATATCACTGTCCACTTTTAAGGAGGTATTGTGATCTCACTGAGCATTTTTAACCAAGCAGAACAGCAAAACTTTTATTCCATCAGACCTGGCAGGAGCCTCCGGGGTCTCTTCCCTTTTCCAAATCAAAGGCGTGAATCAAGGCTTAACAGGTGATTGGGGTTCTTCTATTTGGAAACCCCCTTCAGCTAAAAGATAGTACGATCATTTTGATCTAATTATTTTGTTTGCTGGAGTCGGTATAGAGAATGAGCGAAGAGCCGCAGTAACCCTTCTGGCCTTTCCTGACTTGAAAGAAGCGTGAAGCGGTTGATCTGTCTTATGTGCTGCTGAGTAAGCTTGTCACCATCCCACCTGTGGCATTTGTGTATCATTTCAAAACGTTCATGAGCTGTTTTCTTAAGATGGTCAATTAAATATGAGTACTCTTGATGTGTGATGAATGGGACTCTGGCTTTCGGAAGTTACCCAGGCAAAGTCAGGTAGAGAAGTGAGGTGATATGCTCTGAAAGAAAAAGGGGAAATTGGTTTACTTTTCTTTTTGCATTCACAGGATAATCAGCTGAATTTTCCACTTCTCACCCGTGGGGGCACAGGGTGATGGGCACCGCCAAAGGGAAGCCTTCCAAGCTTCCATTCTTATTTTTGCCCGGGTGCATCCACCATCAGACCATATTAGTGTTTCGTGAGTACATGCAATAGGAACGGGACATTACAAGAGTCTTCCAAGGTCCCTCCAATGTCATTTTCTACAGGTATCTCCACAGGTGGTAGGATGAGGTCTTAGTGCCACATGGCTGCAAAGTGAGAAAGTGGCAAAATTTTGTCTACTGTACATTTTAAGAGCTGGAGATTAAATGACATCACCGAGGTCATCCCAGGGCAGAAACAGTGAAGGATGCTTGCTAAGTCCCCAGGCACTGCTCAGTCAATTGCCCACATGGTGAACTCCCAAAACCGTGGTTTTAACTCAACTAGATTCAAATAGAGGGTGGCTGGCTCCCCGATAGGTGGGCCCCCCAGAATCAGAGAGAGATGTGCCTTTCTCAGGCAATTGGGAACTTTTCAGTCTCTCACATCATGTTCCTAAATATGTATCTTTTCATCACCTAGCTACACTGGGGACTTGTTTTAGTGAGAACAAACTCAGAAGGACAACACCGTGCGGGAAGCATCCTGATCGTGAGTCC